TTGTGTGTGTGTTTTTTTTTCATTTCGCCCAGGAATTGGGATATTTGGATATTTTACATGTTAATAAATGTCAAATCAAAACAAGCAACCTTCACGTCACCTCCAAAAAGATCCTAAAGCTAGGGGGAAAACCCACAACGCAAAGGAAGGAAGCGGTAGAAGCAGCATGAAGGAGACTGCGCAGACCCCCGTGCCAGCCAAAGACCCTGCAGCCAAGGACGACAAGTCGCCCGACGCCGTCAATGCCAGCAACCCGACAGATGACGCGCCTGTAGAGGAAGAACTCGTACGTATTGGCAGAAAGCAAGATCGGTATTTTGATTTTTTAACGAAGCATTTTTGATCGCTTTCCTAGTCGGAGGAGGATCGCAAGCTCAAAGAGGACCTCAAAACAGCCGTGAACCGTGTATGTGGCCCGCAAGAAGAGATCGGCGTCAAGCAGCTGGCCTTGGAACTGCTGCGTCGCGAGATCCGCACAGCCACATCGTCCATGACGTCTGTGCCCAAGCCTTTGAAGTTCCTGCGACCGTCCTACGACAAGCTGAAGGCGGCTTATGAGACGTTCCAGCCTGGCGAGACCCAGAAGCTTATGGCCGACGTACTGGCCGTGCTGGCCATGACGATGGCCAAGGAAGATTCGCGCGAGAGTCTCAAGTTCAAACTATTGGGCAATAGCACAGATCTCGGCTCATGGGGCCACGAGTTCGTGCGTTCGTTGGCCGGAGAAGTCGGCGAGGAGTACAACGCCCGCCTCACAGCCGAGAACGTGGTAGACCCGGACGTGCGCGACCTGCTGGAGATCGTGGACGCCATCGTGCCGTTCCACATGCAGCACAACGCAGAGCCCGAGGCTATTGACATTCTCATTGAAGTACAGCAGCTGGCCAAGCTACTGAAGAGTCCGGATATCGACGAGAAGAACTACCAGCGTGTGTGTCTGTACCTTTTGGCCTGCGCTGATTTCATGTCGGACGCCGATGACCTCGTCAACTTACTGAACACAGCATACGCGCTGTTCCTGCGTCTCGAGCAGTACCCTGATGCGCTTCGTGTGGCGCTACGTGTGGGTAACGACGACTTTGTAACTCAAGTTTTCCAGAAGTGCAAGGACGACGTTGTGCGCAACCAGATGGGCTACATTTTGGGCCGCCAGCGCTATTTCTATGAGGATGAGAGTGAGGCGTCGGCCAATGAAATAATCGGCAACTCCGACTTGAGTGACAAGTTCCTCGCACTGGCCCGTGATCTCGACGTGATGGAAGCCAAGACACCAGAGGATATTTACAAGTCTCACTTGTCAGAGACGGCCAGTGTGGGTCGTGGCCGGGACTCGGGCTCCCAACCTGCAGACTCGGCGCGTGCGAACTTGGCCTCGACGTTTGTGAACGCTCTGGTGAATGCTGGCTATGGAACGGATAAACTGATGACCCCAGAGGGGAATACGTGGCTGTACAAGAACAAGAAGCACGGTATGATGAGTGCTGCTGCGTCGCTGGGTATGATTATGCTGTGGAACGTGGAAGAAGGTATCACGCAGATTGACAAGTACCTGTACTCGGGTGATGAGTACGTGAAGGCCGGCGCTATCCTCGGAGTCGGTGTGGTTAGTGCAGGTATCCGCAATGATTGCGACCCTGCGCTTGCTCTGCTGTCGGAGCACATTGACTCGGGCAACTGCTCTATCCGCTGCGCTTCGTGCTTGGGTCTGGGCATTGCATACGCCGGTTCGGCTCGTGAAGATGTGTCGGAGCTGCTGATCCCCGTGGTTTCGCACGCTGACGAGAATGCTGACATCCAGGAGGTTTCGTACGCTGCATTGGCGCTTGGGATGGTGGAGGTGGGCACGTGTGACGAAGAAGCAGGAAGTGTGCTGATGCAGAGATTGATGGAGAGCTCAGACGCAGAGTTGGACTCGTCCTGCGCTCGCTTCCTTGCGCTTGGTCTGGGGCTGCTCTATCTTGGGTACGTTGTATACTCTCGACGAGTAGGAATTGGGTATCTAATGAGAGTTTATGTTGTCAACTTGTAGCCGTCAGGAGCGTGTCGAGGCCATGCTGGAAGCGGCTAAGACGATTGAGCACAAGATGTCCAAGTACCTGGCGATTACGTTGGAGACATGTGCATACGCTGGCTCGGGCAACGTGTTGAAGGTGCAGCAGCTTCTGCGTACCTGTGCCGAACACATTGAAGACCCCATGGAAGCTCAGCACCAGAGTGTCGCTGTGCTGGGTATCGCTCTGATCACGATGGGAGAAAACATCGGCAGTGAAATGGCCATGCGCTCGTTCGACCACTTGCTGCAGTACGGTGAAGTGGCGGTACGACGCGCTGTGCCTCTAGCGTTCGCGCTGCTTAGCGTGTCCAATCCGGAGTACGCACTGATCGACACGTTATCGCGCCTTACACACGACGTGGACTCGGGCGTGGCTCAGAACGCCATTCTCGCGCTTGGACTCGTTGCTGCTGGCACGAACAACTCGCGGGTGGCTGGTCTACTGCGCCAGTTGTCGGAATTCTACAGTCGCGAGGCCAACCACCTCTTCGTCGTCCGTATCGCTCAAGGTTTACTGCACATGGGCAAGGGTCTGATGACTCTGCACCCGTTCCACTCCGACCGATTGATCATGTCTCGTGTGGCCGTGAGTGGTCTGCTGACGATCCTGCACGCGTCGCTTGATATGGAGCACACGATCCTGGATACTTCCCACTACATTCTTTACTGCATCGCCACAGCAATGCAGCCGCGTATGCTGATCACGTTGGACGAGGAGCTGAACCCGCTGCCCGTTTCCGTCCGAGTCGGCCAGGCGGTACGTTGCCTGGTCCGTTAGAGTGGAGTGGCTGTTTGTGCTGACGTTGGTTTGTTGTGTTGCTGTTTAGGTTGAGATTGTGGGCCAAGCTGGTCGGCCGAAGTCTATCACAGGGTTCCAGACGCACACGACACCTGTGCTGCTCAATGTCAAGGACCGCGCAGAGCTCGCGACTGAAGAGTATCTCCCGCTCACGAACGTGCTAGAAGGCGTTGTTATTCTCCGAAAGAACCCGGACTACGAGCCGGAGACTTAAGCAAGGAGTAAAAGAGGCGGTTGGAAGCTTCTCTGGCTAGCGATAAACAATGCCAACACACAATATTCCTTTAAAAGGCGCTACTATTGGGTTGCTGTAGTGCATCGAAATACTGCTTTCTGGTCACTCTTAGACTGTTTCGTTGTGCCCGTTCGTTCGGTCTAAAGGGACAGTACTAATAATTCGAGAAGGGAATAATGGACACGGCGTACTTGACCGGATCGTCGGGCATGCTGGCTACAGCTACGGGAGGAGGCTCAACTGTCCCCAGACGCAGCGACGGGAACGTGTCGCTTGGATTGTTCAGCAAGATCGCTGCAGCGCGCAAGGAAAACCTCTCGACTTTCGTACGGTTTTGGTAGTTGTGGTATCTCTCTCATGGTTGTGACGATTGCTTTTTGCTTTTACTCACAGAGTAAGGCCGTCGCTGGAGACGTAGGAGGACAGTCAGGACGGAATTTTGAAAAGAAGTCGATCGCAGGGACAAGTAATTTCCCCGAACTCAATGACCCTAGTGGTGAGAATATAGGTTGGAGATGAAGAACTGATCTAATCACTTACTTGTCTTTGTCTGTAGCTCGCAAGCCAGTTCTGCGGACACCAGGAATTCACGAGCGGAAGACAAGTTCGCGCTCTTACTCTCAAAATGTATGGACAAAGCAAACACTACCTGAAGAGCCATCACGACCAGTAAGCTCCCAAGCTCCAGTCAAGAGCTCCATTTTCACTGCACCAGGGGCAAATCGAGCAGTGTCTGCTCAACCACAGTACTCAATACCTGTGGGAATAGTGTCACCATCCAGTCGAAGGCGACATGCTCTACCTCCACATCAGCAGCTTTATCACCAACGGAGACCCACAACTGACTCGGTGAGGATGCCAACGGATGCCGTACTCGAACATTCAAGCTAATTCTCACCTACTGCATGTGGTTCAGCCTACAGAATTGCCAAGAAGTGATCGAGAGATGCCCATTAAGGAGTCACCGACACGACCTGCCACTGCTAGTGAAGTACGTGGAGCTGTGTTGACATTTTGACCAAACAAAACTGACCAACACTTCTGAAATCATGAAGATTCTAGACACCAGGTATCCAGGTTATCAGGGCAATGTACGAGGCTACGTCAGGTACGAAGGAATGCTGCTACTGACCGCAACCGACGACAACTCATCGCGTCTCTGCTCTAGGAGGTCGCCTGAAGTGCTATCGACCTCGTTAGATCCATCCAATACTGTAAGTAAGCGTCATTGATTCATTTGCATGTAGCAGGCCCATAACGATTAAGTATTTCATGGACAATCAGGCACATGGGTGGCATCGTCACTCGTATTCGCTCCAAACTGGCACTGCTGATCCTGGTGGTCGGTATAGGACCCGGACAGAGTCAATGGTAGCTAATGACATGAAGTATACTGGTGCGGGAGAGCTCCCCGTAAATGCTCCCAACCAAGAGGTACGCAGAGAAGGAGGATTCTTCTACAATAGCAAATGGTATGGCCGCTGACCTGACGAAGGATAGGTGCACTTTGCAGTGACTGAGGAGATCCCAGGAGTCCCGATCGTCTATCGGAATCAAAAGGTAAGGCTGTCAAGTGCTCTCTCGCATGCGTTTCTAAAAACATGTTATGATCTGCTGCATATTAGACAAAAGTATCGAACCCCGAGCGACTAAATCTCGATCGTCGCAACCTGCCAGTGATTCCTCTTCTTGAAGGTGAGCAGATTCTTCGCCTTCTCAATCTTCAAAATAATGTCATCCGGAGGATAGAGAATCTACTGGGACTGCCGAATCTAATTTTCCTCGACCTCTACAATAATCGCATCGAGGTACGTGGTGTAGCACTTTTTGTCTCGGTCACTTGTCAACTTGATGACTTATTCTTCGTGAAGAAACTTGAGAATTTACACTTGGTGCCCAACCTACGAGTGCTTATGATGGGGAAGAATCGACTTCGTACCATTGAGAATCTAGACTGCTTGAAAAAACTGGACGTGCTGGATCTACACAGGTACGTTGATGTCAACCTAAAAAGTGGGCGTTTTCGACTAAATCTCTGGTCCTGAAGCAACGAAATTGAGCAGATGCAGAACCTGAACGAGCTCAAAGAGCTGCGTGTCTTAAATCTGGGTGGGAATATGATCTCCGCAGTTGAAAACATTGACAAGTTGATGCTCCTCACCGAGCTGAATCTCCGACGAAATCGAATCCGTCGCATCGGAGCAATTGGCACTCTGCCGTCACTTCTAAGACTTTTCTTGTCCAACAACAAGCTCGAGACATTCGAGTCGATAGCACCACTATTTCAGGTACGTGGATCAATCATGTCAACTGTCGATAGACACAGCAGCTAACAAAAGTGGCTGCGGGAGCTGCAGGTCTCGTCCATCAGCGAGTTGCGCTTGGACTCGAATGGAGTCTGCGCTCCTGACCAGATGGAGTATCGTGTGCGTATGATAAACAGCTTCCCGTCACTGAAGCATCTGGACCTCAAGCCTCTAAGTGATGCTGATAGAAAAGAAGCGTTGCTACGTGCCAATTCCCCCAGCAAAAGCGTTGATACAGCGGAAGCGGCTGCAAGAGTGCAAGCGATTTCATGCGTCAAGGCGAACTGGGAACGGCGTTCTCCAGTGAGTAGCGAAGACTCGCGAGATTCGTCGTTTGTTTCGTCTTGGGAGCTCTCTACCAAAGCCGAGTTGAGTTCTCATGGCGGGTATGAAGAACGAGCGAGCACACCGATACATCGGGAGGAATCAACCGTGTACAGCAACAACGCGGGCTTTTCTGAGCTTGAGGTCTACGGTGACTACCGTGTTCTTGTCATCTATGGTGACGCGCTAGACGCCCTCGAGCAGACCAAAGCTCACGCGTTGGTAAACGCAATTTCGTTTCGCTATTTGGGTATTGCCAAGATCGTGGCTGCTGTCAGTAGCGCTACAAACGCCAATCTCAAGCTGTTTACAAGATTGAGGAGATTTTTTTTCGCGTACAACGATCTCCAGTCGTTCGATGAGCTGTTGTGGCTGAATACTATGGGGTTGAAAGCTGAAGAGGTTGATGCTAATCAGGGTGTGTAGCCTACTGCTTCGAGTGCTAATTGTGTGACGCTGTGGGTTTCCAGGTATACATTTCCCAGAATCCTGTCTGTGCCAAGACTCTTCTCAAGAGATTCATCGGTGCTCGAATCAGTGTGCGTTCGTTATGTGCTTCTTTGGTGTGGCACCTCCCTCAGCTTATCTATTGATGTGTGTGTGTCCTCCGGTAGAATATATTGCGCCTCAACGGCGAAGAGATCAACTCAATCGACAGACATATGGGCAAGCAGCTCTTCCCAAAGCCCAGTGTCCCCCGTACGCGAGCAGTAGACGCTCCAGAGCTTCACCCATTGCTGCCCTCAAAGGCTCGTGTGAAAGAGGGCAGGGACGCGAAAGTGCCCCGATCATTGTCAGTTCTGCACAGTTCTGCCACACCCTCCGCAGTCACCGAGATATTCGACGCAGCATCCGACATCGAAATGAAGTCCACGGTATGTCATGTGCTTGTCGTCCTGTCCAGTCTCCGGTCACCTCACTGCTCTAACTGATGTACCGGTAGGCGCTAGACCAAGCGTGGAAGGACATGCTCTTGACAATCGTCAAGGTACGAGCTTTCCTCTCATCACTATGGACGTGCTTTAACAAACCGCTGTCGTCTATAGGAAACGCTACAAGACATTGAGCGCCGCGACAGCTTCATGTCCGGTTGTCTCGACAATCTGTAGCCATTATTCAAGGCCAGCACCAGTTTTGAAGTCAAGAGCAAAATACAATATCGAACCGCCAGACATCTATTCCTCCGTGTCAGCTTTGTCCGCCTTCTTGCTCTTCTTCTTGTCCTCCTTGTCCACGTCCATCTCGCCGCGTACCTCCTTCTCCATCTGACGGATACGCATCCGTCGCAGCACCTTGTTCGAGACCTTCTTCACCACTGTTTTGCTCTCCTTTTGAGCTTTCTGTAGTCGTTAGCAACACATTGTTTAAAAAAACTGACCTGGTTTCTTCAACTGCACACAATGCCACGTACCCTCTCGCGCTTCTTCATGAGTTTCTCTTTGCGTAGTCGCTCTTTTTCGACTTCCAGCTCATACTGGGCCTTGATCTTGTTACGGTTGTTCTTCCTGGACATGGCTGTGCTCTTCGCTCACCCTACAGACGGCAACAATGATGTGCAAGTACTGACCCTGTGTCGCTTGAGACCACCGACTATTGCACCACACCATATGTACGCAAAGTTTGTGCATTTTCCGCCAATCCTGATAAGACTCAGTTTTGCATGAGTGGATCCACCAGGAAGCTTATCAATTGTGCGGCGGAGAGCTATGAAGGGCCGACGCCAGCGCGCCCAGACGCGATCTGTGTACAGCATGCTACCTGCTAGCATCCGGTATGTTCGCCTAGTCGTCGTAGAATGATAAGAGATGAGTTCTACGCCTGTATATTTGTTGTGGTATCCGTATTTACGAGTGGACTCATGGTGGACAACCAGGCGGACGCTGGCAGGTGTATCACTTGGCATCTCCATTGGCGTCGCAGGGACTTTGATACTGCTAAGAGTTGAAGAGGAAACCGAGAAACCAAGTCGACGCGTCCCAATTCCGACCGATCGCAAGCCATTCGATCCTAAAACGCTACCCAAGCATGAAGCACTTCGCTACGGAATGCCCTCCGACTCGAATGTGCATGTGCGGTCGGGATACGTCGTGTCGTACGACTATCGGTGCGTGCATTGAGTGCATATGTAGTGTTTAGTGGATAATCTGACGGGTTTTATGTTTTTGCTCTGTCAGCACGCGTAATGCGTCGTGGGTGATGGAATACTTGACGAAAGACTCGCTGCGAGTTGAGCAAGAGACGGATCGAGCGAATTCCAAGTTTGTTGTCGATAAAGATGTTCCAGAACAGTTTAGGGTGCACCCGAATCGGTATCTTAAGAGCGGCTATGACAAGGGCCACCTCGCTCCAGCTCGTAAGTTCTCCCCCTTATCCCATCAAGAAAAGTTTTAATCCCTGCTCATTCCTTATGCCGTTGATGGAATGCAGGTAACATGAGTCACTCCCAGGAAGCCATGGACGATAGCTTTCTAATGACCAACATGTCGCCGCAAGTCGGTGTTGGCTTCAACCGTGGCTATTGGTCACGTCTTGAGGGCTTCATGCGTCATCTAGCTGGACAATACGACGCACTTTACGTCATCACAGGGCCACTTTTTCTTCCTAAGGTAGATAAGTACTTTACGGTTGACGATTGATGAACTTTCCTCTGACGCGTTGCTATTTGAGCAAGCAGAAAAACAAGAAAACGGGAGAGTACGAGGTGTCATACCCTGTGATTGGCAACCCACCGGATGCCATCGCTGTTCCGACGCATTTCTTTAAGGTGGTGCTTGGGGAAAAGCGAGGTGGAAACGGTTTTGCTACGGCTGGATTTATTTTGCCGAACAGAGCCATCCCGGAGAACAAGAATCTACGGGACTTTCAGGCTCCGCTAGAAATCATCGAGAAGCAGGCCGGACTTCTCTTCTTCGACAAGGTTGGACCCCTGCTTGTTTCTTATTTTTTTTCTGTCTAATGATTCACCTCCGCTGTGGCGGTGTGTACAGCTGGAAGGTGTTGAGAAGGTAGACCTGTGTAGCGAAACCAAGTGCGGACTTGCTGCAGCTTACCGCAGAGCTTCGTCTATCGAGTCGAAGTGAGATAGATATGTGCTTGCATAATGGCATTTGAACGCTTGACTTCTGGTTTGCACATATGATAGGGTAGCAGCAGCAACAGTATTAATAGCTGCACATACACACATTTGCTTCCACATTAGACGGCATTTGCATTATATTCACTAATCATATATAATACATAACATTTCTTCTCCTTTTAGCGAATCAATCAACGAGTTGCAATTGCCATTGTGATTTCTTGAATTGAAGTGTCGGCATGAGTCTCAACGAGCATGACGCCGCCGCGTCGGGCCTCATGGGCGTGGAGGAGACACCGCCACCCGCGCCGCTAGTGAGGGCATTGGGCCCCCAGCAGGCCGAGGTGGTCGTTAAGCGCAACCAATCCAAGTACGACTTCGTGAAGGTTCGAGTATGGGTCGAGGATCATGTCTACGTGTTGTCCCGCTACCTGCTGTGCCGCGCGCTGGTCAGCGCTAAGGTTAGTATCGTATGGCCTCAATGGTGGTGTAGAATTTTTTCATGACGAAAGGGCTCATGCGTGTGGCTGACGTCGCAGATAAATTCGAGGGACGCAGTGCAGATTTCGCTGGATCTAAAGAGGGTGAGAACGCTGGTTAGAAGGTTAAAGAGAGGAAGCGTTACTGATTAAACTGCGTTATAGACGCTGGTGGACCTAAATTTGACGGATATCGTACAGGAACAGTTCGAGGACTTCCTGTACAAGACGATGCTTGTGTTCGGATATGGAGAACCTCAGATCTCGTGCTACAGGATGATGTCCAGGTTGGGTCGAGTGAGACGGGAGTGTGCGATATATCAGCTATGGACTGATAGCAGATTTTGTGTGTGTGTGTGTGTAGTTTCCACCGCAATCGGGTTCCACTGCTGATCATGCTGGCAGGTACAGCCTGCATCGGGAAATCCACACTGGCCACCAAGGTGCGGCATTCTTTGTCACTTTTGAAAAGGTGAACTTTACTCTTAATTTATTATTTTAAAAATATGTGTAGTTGGCCGACCGACTCAATCTCTCGAGCGTACTGCAGACTGATCTCATCTTCGAGCTCATGTGTAACTTTTCAGGGTATGTTTAGAGGAATACCTTGTCCGACACTGCATTTTTAACACCATCTATTTGTCTCTCAAGGCAAGAGAAAACTTCGTATATAGCGACGAGGTTTCAATCGACGGATGGCCTTGTCGCAGAATACCAGAAAGAGTGTGAAGTTGTCCGCAAAGGAGTCAAATCCGACATCGACAAGTGCCTTAAGGACGGCAAGTCGCTCATAATTGAAGGCTTCCACATCGATCCTCGCCTGTACCAGAAGACTATTGCACTGGAAAAGGATAGTAAAACCAGTTGTTCAGGAATCGTAGTGCCGTTCCTGCTAACGCTGGACGAAGAAGACCACCACAACTTTATGACGAACTCTCCTGACCCAAGATACCGTGGAGACCAGAACGCAATTGGCTTCCGCAACTTGCAGGATGTGCAGAACTATTTGGTCTCTCATAACCAGGAGAAGGATATGCTTCCGTTCACCGAAATTCGGATCAACCTTCACTCATTCCACGACACGTTGGACCACCTGCACGATGTGGTGCTCAAGCGTATTGAGGAGGTTTTCGTGAGTAGTAAGACAGCCACGTAATATTTTTTTCTTGCTTTTTCTAGATAATATCCTTCTCGTTGTCTTCTCAAACGAATAACTGAAATAGAAGTATATGATATGCGGATTGGTCAACACAGGCTTACTCGGCTCTTGCATGCTCGGCCACACTTTGTGAATCTTTACTCGTGAGGCCAGAACCCACTCACCGTAAAGAGACCACAGAGAACTCCTCCTTCCGTGACGCCCGCAACAAGCCCCTTGTATTTGCCGAGAAGACTCAATTCTCGACGTGAACGACGACGAGGACGTCGAACAAAACGCACAAACGAGAGATCTCTCTCCAGAGCTGCTTTCAATGGTCGATACAGCTTCGCACAGTTCGCGCGAATACGCTCGACTTCTCTAGCTGTTAAGTCAGCGTACTTCTTGAGCTCTCGTCTTTTGTCCGGATCGATCAGACTTTCACAATACTCACAAGACGAGCCATCGATTCCACTCCAATGTTCCTCCAAGAAGTCGACAAAATACGGTTTGGGATTCAGTTTAAACTTGTAGAAGAACCGTGATCCAGACCCCGGACTCGTATCATTCATCGCACGAGTGACTGCAGCCATCGTAGAAAGTTTCGGATTGTCTTTCGACATTAAAGGACACAAAACCGGCTCAAACGTGGCATCCCGATTTCTCTCCGCTGCCTCAAATGGCTTCATCAACTTTTTGGTCAGTAGAAGTGCGTCCAAAACGTTTTTTGGTCCTCCTGGCAACTGGAAAATGGGTAGCATTTTGTCCACTGTGAACGGAGCCTCCCTTCTGCAAGTGTCGTCGGTATTGTAGCTGAAATCCAGGCGCCGCATCCAATCGCATTCACAATGCCGACCCAAGTGCGTCTGATGCTCCACTGCAAAGTTTTCCACCGCCTTTAATGACACGGAGTCGATGAAGCCCCGCGAGAAGACATCAGGACAGGCTCGAAGCGTGTTGTAGGCGCTTTGTGCATCGAGGTAGTCCCACACCGACGCGGAGCCCAAGTCCAAGATGTAGCAGAAGCGATTCACTACAGAGGGGGAATCACCGAGTGACAGTCTTTGCTTCTTGGTCTTAGCGCTGCGTGGTGGATTCCGTCGTGGAGTCATAGCGACGCTTTGGATGTCGATTAGATCGCTGTTGATGAGTCACCTAACGTGCATAGAGTCTGCTATCCAGGATTGTCAATCGGTCTTAAGTGATCTGTTAACATGAAATCTGCTTCAAACTAAGTTACTACACTGTTAAACTGTGGAAAGATGGAAACGAAACAGCATAATTTAATATTGATTTACGTTTTTACTACGACTTTCACAGGTCACACGATCTCGCTTCACACGGACCGTACCATTGGTGAAGATACAACGCACTCGACAAAACCTCAATTCTCGGAGTCGAGGCGCAGAAGCGAGAGAACTCGAGGTACATCATCACAACCTTCAGTGGTCGCAGCTCCTTCTTGCAGCTCGAGCGAGAGCAGCCGTTCCTTAAGCCTTTGGTCAGCACCAACGCGCTCGAAAGAACTCGTGGTCTTCCCGGAATATGGAGAATTGGCAAGCTTTGGACATATCTATCCGCAGAAGACGTCTCCAACCTGTTGTCGTATGGGCTGGTATAGCCATGGAGAACAAAACGCATTTGTAGTTTTGATGAAAAGAAATTCGCCAAAATTTAAAACACCATTCGATTTACTAAATGAATCGTCCATTTCTATCCATCGTAAAAGCTGGCCACACTGGCTCCCTCTCAATTCTGGATTGTTGCAAAATGACGTCATGTAAGCAGCGGAAACGGAGTGCGACAGCCAAGTCCGGGAAAAGCAAGAAACAGAAAAATCTTGATACCCTTGATGCGTCCGATGTGGCAGTCCTTCCCGTTCACCTCTTCTCGATAGTGTTGGAGCTTGGAGCTTCTTTTGTATGGAAATATCTGGGTATTGAAGATGTTTTCAACCTGCTTCAAGTGTGCCCAAATCGGCTCTCGGATGATTTCGTTCACTACGTGGCGCTAAAAGCCATAGACAGCTTCACTCTTGAATACAAGGTTCATTTGAGGCGACAGTGTGGCTGCGACTGGATGCGTAGCCTCGACTTCGTTCCGCGTTCGGATGACAAGTGCGTCGTACGCTGCGACTGAAGAAGTCACTACCTTCATATCACAATCGTGGAGGTGGGGCTGCCAAACTTTTGCCTTTGGTTTGCCCTCTAATAACAAGGAAGAAGAGACTATGCCCATGCACTCAGAAAGGTATGACTCGAGTGATGAATGATATTTGGCAATCGGCTGGTACACGCTTTTTTCACGATTATAAAAAAGGTAGGGGGCGAACCATTTTGGATTACCTTGCCCACCATTGGAACGGAATGGAAGGCACTTCTTGTAATAACTGCAATAATTTGACGAAGCCCCATAAGAACTTCACGGTGTATACCAAGCGCAAATTTGAAGAACTTCGTGCACACTGCACCGATGTTTATCGTTCCCTGAAATCTGGCCTGATGACGAATCTACAATTTGTGCGCTTTGTTCCACGACGTCGTGGCTTGTACAGTGTACCGAGCACGCTAAATCCAGGTCAAATGAACCTTCCCTACGAGGGACTAGCCGCAGGAATTACAGACGACGGAGTTCTCTGTGGGTTCTACCAAGAAGGCGGATTCAGGGGTCGCTATTAGGGAGTCAGAATTGACCTTTTTTTTTTGCATTTCCCGGTACCATATTCTTGGATGGTAAGTACATTTCGAAAATGGGTGCCTTACAAAAAAAACCTACATAAAAAGTCGCTTTTTTTTTTGAATTTTTTATCACGATGAATTGTTTGGTTGAAACCCCTTTTTCGTCTCATCAAACAATAATAATCCGCCTTTTATTAATGTCACTCGTTATTTTGCCCGAATAGGCAACACGTGACAGGACATCCGTGCCAGAATTGACCCGCCGATTTAGCTAGAGCCGGAGGGTCATCTAATGAAGTGTCCTCGAAAATATACGTATAGCCGGAAGCTCATTGAGAGAGCAGAGCAGCATGTAGAGAGAAGAACACACGTGTGTGGCATTCTGACATTTTGCTATTGCATGCATAGCATCCAGGTATCCATCAAATGAAATTGCTGCGAACATCCAGCACTAGTCTGCATTAAAAAAATGAACTAATTTGTTATCGTTAAATGCACATGCACAGATATCTAAAGCGCAGATACTGAATCTCCTTTTTACTCAGCAAACTAAGACATTCGGCGCCACAAAATATCTCGAAGGCTACTAGCATGTAAATCCCACAGTTGTAGTTATCGACTTGCACTCCGAGATCACTTTGGTAGGCACGGGTTCGATATTTTCTTGGGACGAAATCAGGTAGCATCGCCACCAACTTCTCGGCAAGTGGTCGAATGTTGACCCCGTAGGTGAAATTCATCGGGTCGTAGATAAAGACTTCTTTTCGTGTAAGATCCATCATGATTGAGCACCAGTGATTCTTTCCACATATCACTGGGATCAAAATTTTCTCCGTGGTCACGTCAAGGAAAATATTGTGCATGGTTTCAACAGAAGCGTAGCCATTCATGACGTTCCCAGTGAGGCCTGTGTGTACCGCAATCACTTCGGCCCTTAATGCGAACAGATTCGACATCAACATGTCAACTGAGTTGTCGCCCAGCGCAGATTTCCCAACCAGTTCCAGTGCTTCTGCCTGCGTCAGTAAACAAATGCACGTCTTAGAAAATAGTATTAATAAAGGCGTGTCATACAGAACATTCATACCTGAGTCGAATGAAGCGGGATGGACTTCAGCTTCTCAATAAGATTGGGGTCTTGATTGACTTTGAAGCACGAGGGCATATGGAGAGGGAAGTCGACCGTTTCGATCCAGCTAACGGCCTTCTCTACAAGTATAGTCATCTTCTTTGCCTTATGCCACATTTTCATCACACCCAGTGTCTTTGTAAATAAGGTGCCGACACCAATAACTTCCACCACCACCATTTTTTCACCTACGTTACCCGCACCCTTGTCCGACCGCTTTTTTTGGAGAGCGGAAACTTTGTCGAAACACTTCTTAATATAATCGGCACGAAATATGCGCATGATCGACTCGTCTAATGTCACCTGTTTAGCTGGAGGTAGCGTCGCTAACATTCGAGCAATCGGGGCTTTAGGACTTTTAGTAAACTCGAACAACTTGAATCTGGATATAAGTGCTGCTGCTGAATCGTATGATGGCTGGTTGTCAAATGTGTACTGTTAGTTTGCCAGGCTAAGCTGTGATGCGTACATTTCCGAGTCATCTTGGACACGCGCGACCGCCTTACTTCGTGCACCCTTCTTAGCTTTCGCTGACTGTTTTGGGCGTCCACGTGATCTAGGAGGACTTGCAATTTCAAAGTCGCTATCCTGAGCAAGTTGCAGTGTTGCCGATGGTTCGTTTGAAGCAGCTTCTGAAACAGGTGATTGAGTGCTCATATCACCCGTCTGGTTACCCGACTGATTACCCGACTCACCCGACTGATTACCCGACTCACCAGAATGGTTACCCGACTCACCCGAATGGTTACCCGACTCAGTGACTTGGCCTGATTGACTGAGATCATCCCACTCACTATTTAACTCGACATTTGGCGAGACAGACGAGCTGTTAGCTCTCGGTTCGGGCGTATGGTTGGTTTGTCGAACCTGCAGCTCCGCCAGTTGGGTAGAGGACTGCGACGAAACAGACGGTAGGTTCGGTACAGCATCTTCTGGTCCTGACGGAATCGCCGCAGTTTCAATAACTGCACTGGAAATCAAATCGTTGAAATCCCCCCTTTTAAAGCGCCGAGCCACCTCCAATAAGTCCGCCATCGCTTCTCGATATTGACGCATCCCCAGCCCTGCCATCAAATCACATATCTCGCTTGCAATAGGAAAAGCCTCGTGATATTTACGGTTTGAATCCCAGGGACGCTCATCGACAATCATTACCCGACGCACAGCAAATGATTCCACATGAGACGCACTGTCATTGGTGCTTTCGAAATCAATTGCTGACCGGACA